CCAATGTCTCAAAGCAGAGGTAGAGGCCACTTCACTTCTTCTGTGGCCCATGGGCAATATAAAAAGTCTGGAAGACTTATGAAAAGAGCTGGTCATCTCAATGTAGAGGGAAATAGCTTTAACCATATCTAGAGTGTGCCAATCTTCCTCCTCAGGAGTAGAAGGATTAGGGTAAAAGGATGGCTACACAATTTCTTGGTTCAGGTGGAAATTCAACACCACTTTAGGTAGTAATTCTCGTACAGGTTGAAGGACTACTTTGTCCTGTGGGACCATGGTAAAAGGAGGTTCACAGGACAAGGCCTGGAGCTCACACAATCTCCTAGCTGAGGAGACAACCACCAAGAGGAGCACCTTTTGAGAAACGTTCGTCATAGATGCATGTTGAAGTGGCTCAAATAGTGACCTAGTCATGGTTTTTAAGACCAGAGGGAGGTCCCATGCCAGCATAAATACCTTAATAGGAGGCCGGATCTTAATAACTGCCTTCACGAAATGTATTACCAGAGGTTCCAATGCCCAACGAGTGCCTGTCAATGCTGTGAGTGCAGAGACATGAACCTTCAGAGTATTATAGCTCAGGCCCTTATTGAGGTCAGCTTGAAGGAAACTCAGCACAGATGACAAGGATGGGGGATTAATAGCCACCCCTTGTTCCTGGCACCAACAGACAAACACATTCCAAATCCTAGAATAGGATTGAGGTAGATGAGGTAGAGTGTTTGCGGGGCTGTAAAAGGGTCTTAATGATGGTGTCTGACATTCCTACACCACTCAGAGCTTCCTGCTCAATCTCCAGGCCATAAGTTTGAAGGATTGTGGATCTGGGTGTTGGAGGGGACCTTGTAACAATGGGTCCAGCTTGGCTGGAAGTTCCCTCGGAGGTTCCCGACTCATCCGATTCACCACAGGGAACCAGGGACGAAGTGGCCAAAAGGGAAGGATAGCAATCACTTCCACCTTCTCCTTCGAGATCTTCTTCAGAGTTACATAAATCAGGGGATCAGGTGTATTGGAGGGAAGACGTATGCCAGTCTGAAGTTCCACTGTTGGGTCAGAGCATCCTGGCCTAGGGCTTCTATCTCGATGTCTTGAGAAATATGCCCGAACCTGTCTGTTCCGAGAGCTGGCCATTAAATCTATCTCGGGAGTTCCCCATCTCCGGGATAGGTCCTCAAATACCCTGGGGGATAATTGCCATTTGCCCTTGTTTATGGTGACACAACTCAGGAAATCTGCCTTGGTATTCTGAACACCAGGAAGGTGGACTGCAGACAATCCCTGAACATACTTCTGGCACCATATCATAATGGAACGTAATTCAACTGATGGCTGTGTGTCCCACTCTGAGGGTTGATATAGGACACTGCTGCTTGGTTGTCCGAGCTGACGTGTATCCATTTGTTCCTCAGAGTATGTTGGAAATGCAGAAGAGCTCTGTAGATTATGTGCAGTTCTAGAATTTAGCTTGGTAGCACTGATTCTTGCAAGTTCCACAAACCCTGGTGTGACGAAGTGCCCTTCGCCACTTGGTCCTGGAGAGGCCTACTTGCCAGCCTCCTCCCCTGTGACTATGACTCTTTCACGTATCTGGCTTTAAAGCCCCTAGTCTACCTTCAGACAGACTATTTATGTAGGCTGCTTTATTTATCCTATGTTTTAGTCACCCTGTACCCATTATAGGTGCAGGGTGTGGTGTCTGCTGCAGCGCTTGGGAGTCCTCAGGAAGCGCTAGGAGCATCCGTCAACGGAGGGTACTCAGTCGGAGTACAAGGAGCTCCGTTACATTGGTGGCAGCGGTGGGATGGCGTCCTAGTGCGAGGAGAAGCAGCTCGGAGACACTGGTATCGTATGAGAGATTATTGAGGGCAACGCTAGCCACTGTGCAGCGTCCCTAACTACAGCAGCATGGAGCAGGGATGGATAGAGCCCTGCGAAGAGCACCTCAACATGATACGTCGCTACGAGGATGACGCTTACATTGAGGAGGTAAAGAGGCAGTTGGTCTGCTATGGCCCAGACCTTTCGAACGAGGTGGTCCAACAAGTAATGCGCCAGTTGAGTGCTGAGAACAGTGCGGCAATGGCCTTTGAGCGACAACTGTGGAGGTTGAGGATATGGACACCTAGTCTCCAGCGGCAGTGCAAGCTACAGGGAGCCGAAGGTGTCGTCCTTCCTCCCCAGCGGCAGTGCAAGTTACAGGGAGCCGAAGGTGTCGTCCTTCCTCCCCAGCGGCAGTGCGAATTCCAGGGGGCCGAAGGTGTCGTCCTCCCCCCCAGCAGCAGTGTGTCCTACAGGGTGCAGAGACAGTTGGTCTCTCTCTCCAGCAGCAGGACAATGTTATGGGAGTGGAGACAGGCGGTCTCCCTCTCCAGCGGCAGCCTGTGTTTCAGGGAGAGGAGCCCAGCACCCTATCTCCCCAGCGGCAGCTTACCCTACCAAGGGAAGACACCAATCTCCCAGATGGCGCAGATGGGACCGTGGTCTCTGTGCCTGACCTACAGGGATGCTGGACAGCCTGTCCAGATCCCCAACTACGCTCACAGGGACAACAGGAAGAGGGGGTAAGTACGAATTCCCCTCCCCAGCTAACTCCTAACTTGGCCCCAGGGTTAACAGAGGAGATGTTAACCCCCACTGACTCCCATGTTCCCCTGGCTACTGAGCCAGACTATGTTCCCAGCACCCCAGCGGAAGAGCTGGCAGCTGGGCAGAGTGCAGTCGGCCTCTGCCCTCCCTTTGTCCCTTGTCCAGAGCCTGATGTCCTGCAGGCTATACCAGCGGAAGAGCTGGCAGCTGGGCAGAGTGCAGTCGGCCTCTGCCCTCCCTTTGTCCCTTGTCCAGAGCCTGATGTCCTGCAGGCTATACCAGCAGAAGAGCTGGCATCAGGGCAGACCGCCGCTGGCCTCTGCCCTACCGATCCCCTTGTCACAGGACTGGCCTGCACCCCCCTCCTCCCAGCAGAAGCGCTGGCATCAGGGCAGAGCGCCGCTGGCCTCTGCCCCTCAAGTCCCCACAGCGTGTTGCCCCATCACCCCAGAGGAATACCCAGGTGCAGTCACTGTTTGCTGTGGGTGGGCTGCTCTAATAACTGTTTGTTGTGGGTGGGCTACTCTGGCACTTGCTTATGGTCGGTGGGTGACTCGACTAACTTAGGCACTGACCGACAGAAAGTCAGGTGCCTGGTTAGTCTTCCCCCCGAAGGGGAGATATGTGACGAAGTGCCCTTCGCCACTTGGTCCTGGAGAGGCCTACTTGCCAGCCTCCTCCCCTGTGACTATGACTCTTTCACATATCTGGCTTTAAAGCCCCTAGTCTACCTTCAGACAGACTATTTATGTAGGCTGCTTTATTTATCCTATGTTTTAGTCACCCTGTACCCATTATAGGTGCAGGGTGTGTGTAATGTAATTGTTTATAGTGTGTGTGTGTGTACTGTGTAATGTATTGCCTGCTCTCTTGTATTGCTGAGGTTTGCTACCAACTAGGTGGGTTTGGCTATGGATGCTGGAGGTTCATACAGGGTTGAAGGAAGAGTTCTTTCCCACACAGTCCTGGAGGACTGAAGCTGATCCAGGGTGGAAGGAAGACGGCGAGACTCCAGTCAAGATACGGCGGTTGCGGAGTCTGCGGTGGTTGTGGTGTCTGCTGCAGCGCTTGGGATTCCTCAGGAAGCACTAGGAGCATCCGTCAACGGAGGGTACTCAGTCGGAGTACAAGGAGCTCCGTTACACCTGGGTTACTAGGTCTTGACAGTGGGCTCCCCATCCTCGGGCACTGGAGTCTGTCGTGAGTATGATCCAGAGGGCATCTGCCAATGGGAATCCCTTCAATAGGTTCTCCCTTTGTAGCCACCAGGTGAGGTGAATTCTTACCATCCCAGAGATTCTCAGGCGTTGATCCCAATTCAATTTCCATCTGTTGAATTGATTTAAAAAGGCTCTTTGCAGAATTCTGAGGTGCCACTGGCCCATCTTACCAGTCCGATGGTGGATGTGAGATTGCCCAGGAGTTGCATGTATCTTTTTGCCGTACTTATAAGTATTCGTATTATCTGGGAGAGAAGTCTGGAGATTCTGAGCCTTCTTTTCTTGTGACAAGGAGATGGTCTCTTGGAGAGTGTTGATGTTGGACCCCAGGAATGTCATCTTCTGTGTTGGTGTGAGGTAGCTCTTCTGAACATTAATTAACCAGACAAATTTTTGGAGTTCTGCCAGAACTAGATCTCTCTGAAGACTTTCTGGAGGTCTGGGCAACTAACAGCAAATTGTCCAGCTAGTTAATTAGATAAACAACCTGGATCCTCATCCACTCTATGAGGACACCCAAGACCTTTGAAAAGGTCCTGGGGGCGGTGCTGTGGCCATATGACAGGGCTAGGTACTGGAAGTGATTCTCCTGTATTGCGCATCTGTGGAAACATTGGTGTTCTATGGCTATTGGGATGTGGTACTAAGCATCCCTCAGGTCGATAGACACAAGGAAGTTGTTCTTCCGTATAGCTTGTGTGATCAGATAAATCCCCTCAAGGAAAGCGTATGGTGGTTATACAACATAGTATCAGACTTTAGGTATCATACTTTACATTGAAAACGTTTGCTACTTTACTTTGACAATACTATTTTAGTAACACTATATTACGTTTTGCAATTGTTACAAATGTATGAAACACTTCACCAATTTTTGGAGTGTGTCTAGTGGTTAATTGCCCCACAGATTACAATATATCCTAATTATTACCCTTGTGGGTTATTTTAATCCACTAGGCTTTATACACATATACATATTTCTGGTACTCTAGCAATTTGAGCCTTCACAAAGACTCAGAGGACTGAATTATTTCAGTACAGGATATCCTATATTATTTCTCCCAAAAAGCAGTACACCTTCAAAGGAAATGGAGCATAAATTCACCTTAGATGAGGCATCAGATCCCCAGTATCGTAGCCACAAAGCCCTCCTAGCCCCAACTGACAGAGCCATAGTATGGGAGAAAATCCTCATAATATCCAGGGATGCTTCAGCGAAGAAGTCAGTTGATCCCAAATAGCATCACAAAGATTAGCTCTCTTCACACCTATTTCAACTTCTGAATCGAGGTCTCTAATCCAGCTTTTCATGGCCCTTGATACAGTCGTGAGAGCTACTGTGGGATGACAACTTGCTCCAGCTGCAGTATAAATCTTGGATAAGTTAGAATCCAGCTTCTTATCAATGTGTTCCTGTAAGGAGGCGGAACTATCCAAGCTTAGTGTAGTTCTTCTGGCCACCCATCTCTTGGAAATGTCTTCCTCCAATGGGTAAGGTCTTGTCACTCTATTCAAAATAGGAACCCTCTTGTCTGATTTCTCCCACTCTGAGGTGATCAAATCTTTGATAGTCCTATGAAGGGGGAAGGAAAGCTTCTGCTTGTTAAGATCAGCTAAGTGTTTAGCTGAAGCGTCAACTTTAGGCAGATCCTCTGATATCTCCAAAGTCTTCCTCACCATAAGGATGAGCTTGTCCATAGTCTTGGAATCAAGCGCTTCAGACAGTATCTCCACTTCACTCTCACTGGAGTCAATTTGATCTAATATCTGGAATTCATCAGTCTGTTCCAGGTTTAAGTCTGAGTCTGAAGACCCCGAGGATACCTGTCTCAGTCTAGGTCTCTTCTCAGACCTCTTTCTGCCTTCCATGTCCTCTGAAATGCCAGGATATCTGGTGACTGGACAGGTGTGGGTGAGGAAGCGGCAGCCAACTTCTGGATACAGAGTAGGCACCTTCAACTGCTTTCCCCTCATACCCTGAACAGGGATTAGCTTTTTCTCTCCTCTTCCTAGGTGGAAATATGATCTGCTCATCATATTACTAAAAGTCACTGGAGGACCGATTTAGAGAAGGTATTTAAAAAGCATATCTATATGAAATATGAGAAGCCATACTCACCTAGATGCTGAAAGGGGGAAATGGGTTACTTAAAAAAACAAACAAGCATCAAAATATGAATATCGCCTAGTCATTACTATAAAGCACATAACCACAGAAGTAGGAAGGAAAATCATACCTGTAACAATATAAAACAAAGATACAGGCTCTTTAGAGATCCAGTACAAGCTCAAACATCCACACCTAGCTTAAAAGTACTCAATGTCTGTCAGAGGCCTCTATATAAGCAAAGCAACATTACTGACCTAATTTTCAGCCATACCGGCCTTTTCAGCATCCGGGACTTACCATACCCACATGTCGCGATTTTGGCACCAAATTTATAAATGCACAGCAATTCCACTGCATGGTCCGATCGGTCTGAGCACCCAGGGGGCAGGGGAACTGAAGAGACGCTTGCAGGTTTTCAGGAACAGGTCCTCAGGAATAACAAAGATGGCTGCCTCAGCATAGGTACTCAATTTAAGCAAACATAAGGATAAATATATAAAAAGTAATAGGAGCTACAAAGCTCCCCTCCTAAGGGCTGTAGGACAGGAAAAAGACTGAGGGATCTATACAGGGATACGCCTCTGAAGGTTTTTGGTTTTTTCCTGTCCTATCGGCTGTAAGGGGAGGAGCTAACCCAAATGTATATGCTGCCATGATTAGCTAGGAAATTATATATATAATGATGATTATTAAACTCATGGATAACAGCAAAAATACATGTCATGTGTCCTTAAGGGGTTAAAAAGCCTGTTATGCCTCTGACAAAAGTCTTTGTTTTCAAAACCAGCAGTTGTAGGATCCAATCAAAATTGAGATTCCAGTTATAACATAGAAATATGGTCTTCCATTGAGATTGGTTTTAAGATGGTTGATTTTCTATGAATATGTTTACAGGTATAATTTTTCACCTGCTAAAATCTTATGGCACTCACTTTTTGTTTTTAACTCATCACTAATTTTTACTGTCTCTTGACTGTCTGTTCCAAAGTGTCCAGTATCCACTGGTACAAGTTATGGCATAGATGCCTTAGGGGATCCACATTACTTTAACTTTAGCATTCTCTATCTCTGTTTCTCCAGTAATAAAAATATGCATTTTTGAAATCCTATGTATAGTTTGGGATGACAATGAACTTTTCTACCATTTAAATATTGATTTTAAACACTTTGTTTTGCATGGCCGGACACTATTGGCCTTCTAGGGGATTAGTTAGACTCTTGCATACCTTAGGTAAAATACAAAACAAGGAGGTTATCGGGAAAACTTTCAGTAGGAACCTTTTAGTATTGTCACTACTAAGGACATTCATTTGAGCCTGGTCAACAATGTGGATTACTTTAAGTAAGAACCTTTTAGTATTGTCACTAATAAGGTCAATCATTTGAGCCTGGTTAACAATCCTAGGTATTTGGTCTCTGATGGCATCTACTGGATTTATGTGGATTTCACAGTGTATATATTTTTATCCAGTAATTGCTGTAACAATTCCTGATTATATTGTTCAAACTCTTTTCAACAGTTGATTTCAAGCATAAATACTCATTTATTTAAAAATGTTTGCAATTGTTTTTTTTTCCCATTTATTTAAAATAAAGGCAACATTATATAATGTATAGACTGCTATACAGGAATGCATAAGGAATAAAATAAGTTAAATTACAGTATTTGATTTACTACTAAAGTTTGTTTTTTTGCAGAAATATTGGAGAGTCTGTAAAAAAAGAAAATTAAAGAATATATCATATCCTTGGTTTTGCAATCTGTGTAACAGCTTCAGAAATATCAGTAATTAATTTTATATAATTATAAAGTAGGTGGAAAAAAAATACATTATAAAAATGACATTATATATAAATACCCCTTTGATTGCCCATTATACATATATACCCCTTTGATTGCCCACTTTACAGTTTATGGCCATAGACCATATCCCTTTTTTGCCATGTGGAAGAGATAGGTCTAGACTATGTCTCCAACTAGAAACATATTGGATATACCAGTTGGACACAGTTGCGCCAAGGGGCTTAAAATAACACATCTCATCTCATATTCTATGTTTCTTTAAATAACCCCATTAAATTATTCTTTATATCTTTGATTTTAGTTTTTGTCTGAATAATGTCCTTTAAGTATATACTTTGTAGCATTGCTTAGGGTTAGATTTATAAAATCCTTGGACATGAGTTTGTCTGAATATGTTTACTTTATGCTTGTGGCTTCACATATACTATGTCTTGCCTTACATCGGCACATCTAATTGGACCAAGATGCATGGCTAATAGAAGCATAGTTTTGACAAGTGGTTATGGTACAATGAAATTATGTGTTCAACATGGCTATATTTAGTTATGTTTCCCTTATATAGTAATAGTACATTTTTGTTATTTAGTAAGAATGTGTAAGACTTATCAGTATTATTATATATTGCATATCATAGTACATTATTGCTTTGCACTTTGTTACACTATATGTAGCATAATTACAGTCTTCTGGACACTTGGTTGAGCCTGTATCACTTCACTTCATTCAATTTAGTTCACACTGTTTGCTTTATCACAACACTTAGTTTTTTGTTCACATTCACAGGCTCTCCCATAGATATCTGGTTGCATAGATAGATAGATTACTTTTGTTATATCCTCCATAAGCATTTCTTCTACACGGTCACTTCCACGGCAATGGGATAAACATAACTTAATTTTGTTTACACGTTACTTAGCAACCCCACAAATGCGCATGTACGCTCATCATGTTGATCACGTGTCCCGTCTGTGCACTTCCAGGTTTGGAGGGATTGGCTGCACGCACACTGGATTGGTAAGTAACTTTCACATTATTTCTTATCATAGTTTACACTGTGTGTTTGATCTTGAAAAAGACCCTTAGCGGTTGAAACTTCGATCTAAACAGACAACTTTTTGATGTATCAGTTATTAAAGAATCACACCTTCAAGTGTGCCTCTTAATTTATGGAATATAAACTGGTACGCTGGTTGCACCGAGGCCTAAAAATTGAAAATATTGAAAGAGGTGAGTGCCAAGAACATTTACGATAGTAGACAAAATGCCAAAATACCAGAGTTTTGCAGTATGCAATGGTACCTTTTTTATTGGACTAACATAATATTTCAAAGACAAGCTTTCAAGAGTTTTTCTCCCTTCTTCAAGTTTGAAGCAATACTGATCAATCTGATAGAGTTTAACACTTAAAACAACTGATGTTAGTGAAGTGAAGGGAGGGGGGCAGTGAGTGGGGTCAGTGGCGTATTTTAGTTTTGCGCTGCCCTAGGCATGACTAAACCTGGGCACCACCCTAATCTAAATTTGCCCCACCCCTTACTATCAAGGCCACACCTCTTCCTCTTTAAACTGCACCTTTCCCTATTACTTTTAAAGAGAAACTAAAGTGCAAGGGAAGCAAAGCTGTTTTCCTGGCACTATAGTTCCCTATAGTGCCCCCCATCAATGAAAGGGTTAAAACCCCTTCTGTCACTTACCTGAATTCAGCGCCGATGTCCCTCGGCGCTGGGTCAAGCTCCTCCTCTGAAAAATAATAATACAATGAATGGGAAAAATAATTCCTAGATATGTAAAATGGTGCTACTATCACCTCTGTGGGCCACACAACCACAAAATAACACTGGTGCAACAAAACAAATACAATGGTGAGAGCACTCAAATAAAAATGTAAAAGATTTATACCCACAGATATCGTTGTCAATCTATAAAAGATAAAACAAACAAAAAGATAAAGGGTAATATAGTAGATACAGAGGGATACTGATGCAGCAGTTGGTCTCACTCACATGGTAAATGGCCACTTAATAGCTGTCTCAGACTGAATGCCTTCTGTTTAATCAATGCAGGGCTCCACTGGAAACTTTCCTCTGTTGTAAACACCTCCCAGGATCATTCAGGATGCAGAATGTAGAGGGTAACAAAATGTATTGATAAAATCAAATAAATGAAAACACAAACAGAATATAATGTGAAAGTCCCACAAGGATAAGCTATTTAAATCACTTTACGCGTTTCGGCTGTTGCTTTCGTCAGAAGTGATGAATCCTTTCCAAACATCCAGTCTTTTATATTTAAAATTGGCGGCTTTTCTTGCGCTGTACACAATCCCTTCCGCTTCTGGTGTGGACGTCGGGACGTTACTTGCATCCTTACGGCCCGATGTTCTCATCACCTTCCGGTTCCGGTTTCGTATTTCCGGCAGGGACGTCTAGACATACGAGTCATAGACAGTACTCGACGTCCCCCTCCTCTTCCGTTTTTTTTCATTTGCGGCAAAAAAGTACCTATCTTAATGTCCTCACGGGTGTGGGCATTTGTGGGGGAAAAAAAAGGTTCCACCCACAGAGCAATAATAATAACAACCCCAAAAATACATATATATATATACAATAATCAAATAAAAACAAAACATTATATAATAAAAAAATATTATTCAGATAAAAGAGTGGGCAGATATACAAAAACACTTTCTGAAAAAGAGGGAATACATTATTATTAGAAAATTTAAAAAAATAAGAGCATAAAAATTAAATATATAAAAATACTGTCTCAAAGGCAACGTAATCAATCTGGCGAATTTCAATGTGAAAAAACTGAAATGCAAGACTCTGTAACTTTTGAAAACACCCTAAACGCCTGTACATGAGGGGTACTGTTATACTTGGGAGACTTCGCCGAACACAAATATTTGTTTTTTTCAAAACAGTAAAAAGTATCACAGCAATAATATCGTCAGTATGCTGTTTGTGTGTGAAAAATGCAAAAAATGTCACTTTCACTGACGATATCATCGTTGTAATACATTTTACTGTTTTGAAACACTAATAATTGTGTTCAGTGAAG